AAGCTCTCCTTAATTTTGATCTACAGCATTTTTTCCGTTAAAAAAATTATTATATAGTTTTGAAAATTTTTGTTTAACAACGTGCCTGTGTGGCCGAGTGGATAACGCGTTGAGTTTCTGAACAAGTAAGCAGTGGTTCGAGTCCTACCACTGGCAACTTTTTTTTAAAATTTCTTTCGATTATTTTAAAACACAAAATACTTTTAAAGTTTTATAGAGATTATATACAAACATATGTAACAATATTATACACTTTAATGAACGAAAAGATTTTAAAAAAGCTAATATCTCTACAAACATCAAAACACCGGGGAAAAAAAGTTGTTGCGTATGTGTCATGATTGAGATACTTATGTTATTAACGTGCTCAGGTAATTAATTTTAATAGGCTGCAGATAGTCTGAAAAAAAGTTGTCTGAAACTTAACAAAAAAAACAATTTAATAAGACAATCCTGCTACTCCAGAAGGTGCTGCTGTGGAGGCGGAAAAAACAAAAAAGCCTGTAGCTAGAAAAACTTTAAAACGTTCTTTTGATAATTAAAAGTTTTTTTTGGGTACATTTATTTTTTTACTATAAATATATGCTGCAGACGTTTTTCAAAATGCCTTAATATGCTTATTATGTATTTTGAGAAAAACACAATTAAAAAAAAAAAACGTTTGTAGACATATAAACTAGCTTATTTTGTAAAAAAGTCAAAATTGATATTTTTACCTTAAGGCGAATTGAAAAACGGCTGCAGTAAAGCCACTAAACCAAAAAAATTAAAAGTAATTGCAGTTTAGTGCACTTAAAAATTTTAATATAATGTGTTGGTGTTTGCAAAGAAACATATAAATCATTTTTTAATTTTAATATAAACTATTTTTTTTTAAACTTTCTTGCGCTTAACCATCCCTATATAAACAATGCATATTTAAAAAAATATGTTATTTGTTTATATATATTGTTTACATAATGTAAAAAATTCACTTATATAATGTTTTATTCAGGATCATATGTAATATAAGTAAACTTTTCTAATAATTACAAGTCATTTTTGCTGTGTTGTTTAGATTTTTTGTAGTTATGTTATTATATTTAAAAAAATTGACAAGATTGAAAAAACACAAAACATATTGTCACATCCAAGTGGAAAATTTGAAACTTCAACTTTAGATTTGCCTCACTCTTGATAATTTCTGATTGCTAAAATTACGCCATCTACTTTTTAGACCTTTCAAAATGATAGTCATAGAAATAAGATTTTGTTTCCATTTTTTTTTTTAAATTCTTTCTATTAAAGATATGAAATATATTTTAATGGGATATATTCTAATAAAGACAAAAACTGTTTATTTATTACTATTGTAATAAATACAATCTCTAATCCATGAAAATGATACATCTGAACAAGATTTATATATTTTTATGCATTTGTATGCAACATAATTAAAATTAATTTAAAAAATGTAAGATAAATGCAAAAGGGCGCATTTAATAAAGGTTTATTTTGCCACAAAGCAACGCCAACGCGCAAAATCTTTTTGGCTTAACTTTTAGATTAACTTTTAACAATTCTCTAGTTCTTAACCATAATCATAAGAATGAATTTTTTTTATGACTGTTTTAGTGCTCTAAGATCTTCTTAGTTCCATTTGTATGGCGTTACGTAAAAATACCTGTAAGTGTAAACTTCTTTAGCATATGTTGAGTTTGCAGGCATTATATGGAATAATTGCGTATATCTATGTACCTATAAAATGAGAAAACTTTAAAATTTTATTTTATCTTATTTATTATCTTATATATCTATAAAAATGAAAATCCTTCAAAATTTTATTTTAAACTTTAGAAATCTTTTTTGCTACATTATTTTTTTTTGCTATAAATATATAAGCAAGATTGACAAAATTTCAAAATTTAAAACGCTAAGAGGAGGTCTTAAACCCTCCAAAACAACACTGATGACAGCGCACTTAACCACTGAGCTATCAATGAAATGCATTAAGCAGAAAAACAAACCTAATTATGAGTCTCTTATAAGCTCTAAGTACGCGTAAAAGGTGCGCATGTTAGGTTTTTTGCTCTTAAAATTTTTTTTTCAGAATAAATTATTTTACTAAACAATATTGAAGTAAATAAGGAATAGTTATAGAAATAATTGGTGAGAAATAGATATGTAAATTGGTAAAGACCTGTATTTTACGGATCCGGAAAGCTAGGATATATAAAGAAAAAGTATAGAAAAGTTTGGTTTGGAATAGATATACACAAACCCTAATTTTTATGGGTCCGATATCAGCTAATCAATATTAAATAGTTTTAACTTTTAATTATTTCAAAAAATAAAGAATTTCATAAAATGGTTTAATCTAAATATAAAATTAAAAATTTTAATTATGTTCTTATTAAAAATATACTTTTTGAACCCTCTTAAGCTTTTAAAAAATTTAAGGTGCAGTGAGGCAAGTTCATATCATCAGCTTGCTTGTTTTTTAACTTTTGTTATTTTAAAATGCAAAACAAAAAAACTTCTATAGATTTTATACTCTATATATAAACATGTTGTATACTCATTTTCCTTGCAACAACTTAATTTATATATAAACATGTTGTATACTCATTTTAGCTTCTATAGATTTTATACTCTATATATAAACATGTTGTATACTCATTTTCCTTGCAACAACTCAATTTGTTTGTAAAAAACTTGAAATGTAAAACTAAAATAACATAAATACCTCAATCATGACACATACGCAACAAACTTACCCCTGTTTTTTGATGTTTTTAGAATTTTTAGCTTTTTTAAAAATCTTTTTATTTGTTGAAGTGTATAATATCGCTACATGTTTGTATATAATGTCTATAAAACTTCAAAAGTATTCTTTATTTTAAAAAATTTTAAAAAAATTTAAAAAATAGATTGGCCAGAGGTAGGAATCCAACCACAGCTTTATTGTTCAAGAGCTCTGCACACTAAACACTCGGCCACGCTGGCATGTCGATTAACAAAATTTTAAAATAAAGATTTTTTTTTTTTTTAAACAGGAATAAATGCTATAGATCAAAATTAAGGAGACGTTGACCCAATACAATTTTCTAGTGAAAGTCACAAACTTTCAAGTGAAGGTTTCACAAACTGTGAAACTTGATATATGTTTAAGTATGTTTTAACATTACATAATTTGAAATTTACATACATCAGATATTTGCATACACTTTCGTCCATATTTTCTTATAAAACAAAGTACTATGACTCTTTCTCGCTATTACCTCAGTTGCAATGGCTGCCAAGAGTTTTGTGTCAAACACGCACAAATAAGCATTAATACTATTAAGTTCAACAATAAAATATAGTGATAAATTAGCCCAAAATATTTTTAATTTCAATATTGAACACAGTTTATTCACTTTCACTCGATTCAGGTGTTTCCCATTCACTTTCGCTGCTTAAACTATCGTAATCAATGTCGTCTTTTTTGTTATTTACTATTGTAGCAGGTTGAATTATTAGATCGAAATAGCTGTTTTCCGTTTATGAAAAAATATATCAGTAGCCTATTCGATAACATTTTTCCTATCATTATCACTAAAATTTTAATCATTGATTTTAATGGCCAAGATAGCGTTAAGTGTTTGGTGGTCAATTCTGAGTCTTTGGTCTGACATAAGCATTGTCAGAAGACTAAAGGCTTGTTCCACTGATGAGTTTGATCCAGATAAGTATATGAATAACTTGATAACTTTATATCAGACAGTCAATTTATACTATAAAAATCGATTAGCAGTCTGTTGATTAAAAATGAGATAATCAATTTTTAAAAATGAGTTTTATATTAGTATATTAAATAAACTGCCGCCATTTTCAAAAAAAAAAACAGGAAGTTAACACAGAAGTATGCAGGGAAATATGCACTAATTTAAACAACTTTAAAGTATGACAAACTAGTTTATCAATCAATTGAGCAAAATGTGTGACTATACCAAAAAAGAAATTGTCTTTAGTATTTATTAGTTCTTAATGTATGATTACAAATTTCCGAAGAACACTGAAAACTCAGACTATTATATTGAACTCTTTTGCAACACATGCATATTTTTCCTGGTTTTTAACATACTAATCGATTATTTTTTAACATAACGCAGAATAATACAAAACAGTTATAGCTATTTGAAATAACTTGTTTGATTTTTATTTTTTATTTTTACATCAGAATATTCAAAAATTGTTTATTTCATAGTTTTTTTTAGCATATTCTGAATGAAATAGTTTCGTTTTTTAATTAGTAAAACAAACAGTTTTACAAAATTACATCATTTGAGAAGTTTTTAAAAGAATAACTAAATAAAAACTATTTAACTTTATTTTCACCAAATATTTATACTTTGCACAGGCTTTATTTCGCCTGTGTAAACTGATTTGCAGGGATGTGGAGGCAAGCGCAAGCTATAGCCCGTCATTTCTGCCGAAGCCTCTCTCTCTCTCTCTCTTTCTCTCTCTCTCTCTCTCTCTCTCTCTCTCTCTCTCTCTCTCTCTCTCTCTCTCTATATATATATATATATATATATATATATATATATATATATATATATATATATATATATATATATATATATATATATATATATATATATATATATATATATATATATATATATATGTAAAAGATAATTAAGAAACTCTCTTATTCATTATGTATTATACTTACCAATTATAAGTACTATTTTAGGTATTTTTTTAAGTTTATATCATTAAAGGCAAAGAACAGTGCATACAATAAAATGATTTGCAAAGATGCAAAGAATAAAAGTTTAATATTTCAAATATATTACTTTGCTACGAATACAACTATTTTATAATTATTATAATGTGCAGTTTTAAAAACCTTTAAGTGAACTTTCACTTATTTCTAATTTTGGCTAACTTGATGATTGAATTTACTTAACCATGTCTTTAGGAAAATAAACAGAAAAAATTTAAAAAATTAACATTGCAAAAAAATAATTAGATACCTCTTTATCACTGTCAATAAAACATTGAAAATCATGTGGTTCCAATGTATATTTAACCTTAAAAAAAAAGATTCATGATAATTTTTATTTATGCTCAAATATATAGCAACTTTTTTTTTTTTTTTAAACTGCATAAATTATAATTTAAAAGCTAAAAAATGTATTTATAAAAGTTAAATAACATTTTATCAACCTATATTAACAACCTACTTGATTTTAGTGTGTTAAATGAACAGTAAATTTAGAAATACAGAAAAAAATTTATATAATTTTGAATACGATAATAATTAAATAATGCAGTTTTATATACCAATTGCCTTTTTCCATAAAGCTGCAGTTGTTGGATCTGAGGGTAATCAATGAAAGGATGTATGAAAACCTGATATGTTTGGATAACTACGTCATACAATAATAGTACAAATTGTCATTTTAAAGTTCAATTAAAAATTTACAATTTAATAGTGAAGTATATATAAAGAGCTTATTTTCAATACAGGTTAAGGGACATTTTCGAAAAAATTCTGTTAACCGCCCCATATTATAAAAAATAAATACTTTTAAGTCATGTTAGCAACTATTTTCAAAGACTTCAATATTTTTATTTATTTTTAGCTAAAATATAATTTTATTTTCAAAACGCAGTATGATTTTTTTTGTTAATTTCGACATTCAAGTGAGGGAAAAATTTCTTCTATATCATGTAATCATGTTGCAGGCTTTTGCAAGGTGAGTTTATTTGATTTTATTGAGCTTATTGTTGTTTGTTGATTATGGTATAATAATCTTTAAACTTATGACAAGTTTATTTCAGACTTGAGATATTACATCCGACAATCTGTTTAAATGTCATTCAGAGTTCTATTGTAATACCAACAAAGTGTCATAGGATGCTTCTATACTATCAATCATTAATAGTATAGAAGCTCATAGTTCTTAACTTTTTTTGCTCATTTTTTTTTCATTTTGGCTCTTTTAATTTTGACTATATTAAGCATTGATAATATCAATGCCTAATATAGCCAGTATTAAAAGAGCCAAAGTGAAAAATAAGCAAAAAAAAAGTTAAGAACAATGAGCATTGAGTACTTTTTATGCATTGAAGGATACAAACTCCAAGTTTGCCAAGCTTCATTTTGTTCAGTAAGTTTACAATTACTTTACTTTTAATTCAGAATAATTTGCATAAGTTATGCATGTATATTTGTTGAAAAAATGTTTTATTGACAAAAGTCAACATTTTATTTATATTATCTAGTCATAAATCCAGATAGAGTTATAAGAATTGCAAGACACTAGTATTAGCATGGAACAACCAGACCTGAAAATAAAGGAGGTGACAGGAAGAAAGCAGTTTTTTCTGGAATGAAAGAATCTATTAAAAATCATATTCAGACTTTTACATGCAAAGCAAGTGATTATGGAAGAAAAGGTGCTCTTAGACGTAAATATTTGCCCTCTGATTTGAATGTAAAATGCATGTGTCAACTTTTTTGGATAAAAATAGTACTATTTTTATCCAAAAAAGGATAGCTCAAAATGTGGACTACCATTATTATTATTATGAGATATTTATAAACCATTACAATTTAGGATTTGGATACCCAGCAACAAATACATGTTCTACATGCCAATTGTTCAAGTTGTCTATAAAATTATTAAAAATATTAATAAAAAAAATAAAAACTGAACTTTTCATTTTTCACCAAAGGAAAGCAAGAAAATCGCAGGGCTCGAATTAAGTGTATTGCGATCGTGATTGCTTTTCACACCTTCGCAATTAGTTTTTTCTTAAAAAAAATATTTTTACAATTTTTTTTTTTTGGGGTTATTTTTTTTTTTGTGTAATTCTTAAAAGTATTTGTTTTTGTTAGTAAATGTAAAAGTAAATGTTTTTGTCATAAAGTACATCACACTAAATTTATCTTTTGAATAGAAGCATGATCATTTGCTCATTCGCGCAGAGATTTTCATTCAATGTAAGAACTTTTGAATTTAAATTTCTTTACATCTCAGCAGGGAAGCCAAAAATATTTTAAAAGGTTTTTAAAGCAAAAAGTTAAGAGAAAAGACATTACAGCCTGGTTTTTATCTTTGTTTTTTAAATGTTGCACAAAATTAACTTATTATTAATAAGTTAAATGATTATTTTATTAACAATTTTATATTATTAATTTTACTACTTTAAGTAGAATTAAAATATATATTAATTTATTAAAAAAATTGTTCTATTAGTTACTCAATAGAAACCAGCAACTTTTTTGCTTTAAAGTTATATTTACTTTGATTTACTGAATAGATCTCAGTACATCTCAGTAAATTAACTTATAAACTAAATCAAAACAACCAGTTAAGTAATACAGTAACTTACAGTTACTCAAATATTAACTTATCAATATTAATTTACTTAATATTTTTATTTTTATTTTTTTTATTTGCATTCACTCCCAACAAGGTTGCATGCAACCACTATTAAGTGGGAGTTACTAGGAAAAAAAGAACAGAGCTATAGAGCAAGGAAACGGTTGACAGAAGACTTGAAAAGTTGAAGGTTGTATGAGTCAGGAAAACATGAAGATGGGAGAGAGTTCCAAAGGATTGAAGTGCGGGCAAAAAAACTAGATGAATAAAAGTTTTTAGAGCATGCAGGGACAGATAAAGTAAACGAATGAGACTTAGCTGAATGACGAGTAAAACGAGAATGAATTTTAGTTGATGGAACTAGAGATAATAACTCCTTTGAGCAGTGACCATGATATATTTGTAGAAAAGAGAAAGAGATGCAACCTTACGACGATGGGAAAGAGGTTCAAGCTTAGCAGATAGTCCAGATCCAACAACATTTACAATGCGTTTTTGGACCTTGTCAAGAAGAGAAAGTGAATTGTTAGAAGAACCAGCCTAAATATGACAACAGTATTCTATACAGGGGCAAATAAGAGATTTGTAGAGGCAGAGAATGGAATCAGAAGTAAGGAAATGGCGAGCACGATAAAGAGAATCAACCTTAGCAGAAGTTAATATAGCAATCGATTGTATATATGGTTTCCATGAAAGGTCAGTAGTAAGCGATAATCCAAGAAGACGTAAAGAGGAGGACTCAGTAAGAGGATTGCCATTCATTAATATAGGAATGTTGACCATATTACGGTAGCTGTTTGCAGTAAACAACTGGGTTTTGTTAGAGTTGAAATTCACAAGCCACTGTGAACCCCAATCTATTACTGAAGTGAGATCAGATTCAAGATCAGATTCAAGATCAGATTCAAGATCTTGTTCTAGGCCAGTGGTTCCCAACCGGTGGTCCATGGACCCCTGGGGGTCCATAAGAACTTTTTAAGCGGACCACAAGATAAACGTAAATTCTAAATATTTTTTGGTAGTGAAACTTAATTTTGATTATTTTTTTCTGTTGAAAGAAACAAATTAAATTTTAAATTAAAAATGTAATTTATGCAAGAAAGCTGTTACACAAAATTTGCGTTAACTAATTCGACGAGGACTTGCGGACCTCTACGAAGTAATAAATGCTATATGATATCATTTTTTATCCGTAAATTTAAAATGTTAAAATCTTATCTCATGGTAAAGATAACCTTACTGATTTGTTTGAAAGAACGTAATTTGTGTTATTTTCTATAAAAATTCGATACTATACTACTCTTATCTATAGATGCTTTTTATATTATTTTTTAAATACTTTAGATGTCTAAAAGTAAAAAAAGGTCATACTTAGATGAATACATGAGATATGGATTTACCTACATGCTTAAAGAAACCATTAGCTACCCACAGTGTGTTATTTGTTATAAAGTACTAGGAAATGACTCTATGAAACCTTCAAAGCTTGCTATTCACTTGAATAAGTGCCATCCTGATCTCCAAACAAAAGATACTGATTTTTTCAAAAGAAAATTTGAATCACTGAAGAGATGCTAATTGGATAAAACTGGGATTATTTACCAAACTCAACAGAATATAGTAGAAGCATCCTATAAGGTTTCATATATAATAGCACAGAACAAAAAAGCTCACACATTGGCTGAAGAAGTTATACTTCCATGTACAAAAGAAATCGTTAGATTATTATTTGGAGAAGAAGCTGCAAAGAAGGTAGATAATATATCTTTATTAAATACTACAGTCAAACGAAGGCTAACGGATATTTCATCAAACATTAAAGAAAATGTTATTAATGAAATTAAAGAATCCCCATATTTTTCTATTCAGTTGGATGAGTCCACAGATGTAAGTTCAATGGCACAACTAATTGTATATTGTAGGTATATTCACAATAACAAATTTAAAGAAGAATTTTTGTTTTCTTCTTGCCTTGAAACAACAACAAAAGCAGCTAATATTATGGAAATTTTAAAACAGTTTTTCAATGACAATCAATTACAATGGAAATATTTGTTTGGAATTACTACTGATGGAGCTCCTGCCATGATGGGTTATAAGTCTGGATTACAGACTAGGGTGAAAGAGATTGCTCCAAATGTAGTTGGTGTACACTGTTTTATTCATAGACAGGCTTTGGCAACCAAAACTTTACCAGGTAGTTTGAAAACTGTATTTAATCAATTAGTCAAGTTGGTCAATTATATAAAATCTTCTGCTCTTAACACTCGCTTTTTTACAAAATTTTGCTCTGACCTAAATGCTGAACACAATAAGTTATTGTTTTATACTTCTGTGCGATGGCTATCTGCTGGAAATTTTTTGGAAAGATTTTTCATGCTTAGAAATGAAGTGAAAGAATTTTTATGTCAAATGAAAAGTGGACTGGTAGAATATTTTGAATTTGATAATTTTGAAATAACAACTGCTTATCTTGTGGACATCGTAGGTCATTTTAACTAGTTAAATTTGCAAATTCAAGGCAAAAATGCTAATGTTATTACACATTCAGATAAACTGAAGGCATTTATTGAAAAGCTCAAACTGTACAAGACTAGAATTAATAATGGAAACTTGATCATGTTTCAAAATTTAAATAACATAATTGGAGTTAACATGCTTCCTGAAGTTATAAAGACAGAAATAGTTTGTCACCTAGA